AACACGGTGTAGAGCTGGATGAACCTGAGATAACACGGTGTAGAGCTAGATGAACCTGAGATAACACGGTGTAGAGTTCATCCAGCTCTACACTGTGTTATCACTAATTGTTAGACATTTCTCTCGAACCTTCAGCTCAAAGATGTTTTGCATTGTGAATTACTGGCAGTGTGTACTGATAATAATCACTTGGGGAACTGGGGTTTATGGACAAAGGGCAGGAAAGTGGATATGAGGAGAGTCAGATCAACCATGAATGGTGGAGCAAGCTTGAGGGGGCAGTCAGCTTACTCCTGTTCCTATTTCTTATGGTCTTATGGTACTAATATGGTGAGGACAACTGTATAACTGGGATCTTGATGAACAAGTTATCCTTTAAAGGAGTTACATCCACGATTTAAAATGTAAACTTTGGCCAAATTGGTGGACATGCATTGTAGGAACAGAAATGGTCTTGTTAATAGGCTCCTTAGCCTTAACTTTCCACTGCAAATTTAACAGATCAAATGCAGTCATTCGTTCAGATGGGCATGCTTTCAAGAGATTAAGAGAAGCAGAGTGATCATCCAGCAACTTGTGGCCATACACGACTCTCGGAGAATTGTGCCTCAGTAAATGTCACTGGGTTATTTACTGATAACTAATTCACTAGTTTAATTCACTGGTATTAACCTGGGAAGTTCTGGCCCATCACACATTTTCAATGTAGTGCCAACCACTTTCACCATCCCAGGTATAGCGGGCAACAGCAATGAATGCCACCGACCACTTTCCATCAACACTGTTGCACAAAGCTATTTCAGGCAGTTAAAACCACTGCTCAATTACTTGTTAAATAGCAAAGATCCATCATTTTGTCCAAACTCCACTCCTGTACAGCTCTTAACACTGCACAATGACAGTTTGAAAATAGACCCATTATTCAGGCCACCTCTTACCCGGGATATGAATACGTGTGTTATCAAATTGAGTTGTGTCTGACTTATCCTGTGAGAAATTTCAAATTCTGAAATAAAGTGATTATTGCAAATAGGGAGTAAGTATAACTCATTCCAGCTTTCGCTCGCAATGCACACTGTCAATATCCAGTCTCTGTAACCAGAGTTATGGCTATGTTATATTAGACAGTACACACTGCCAGCAAATTGTATTTGCACACACTCTTCCACAATATGCATTGTGGGCTGGTTTCTGGATGTGGTCAGCATTTATTGCCTGTTGCAGACAGCCTGCTAGTGTGCCTCTCTCTTGAACTACTGCAGTTCCTATGGTGTTGGTATTTTACTGTACCTCAGGATACTGATCCATTCACAGTGATATGTGTCTAAATCATAGTGTGCAATTAATTTCAGCATTTCATTGATGGTTGGCAGGAGGCTAACAGGGCAGCAACTGCTTTGGTTAGGCTCACCCTCTCTTTGCAGATGGGTAATATTTGTGCCACACAAGAGAAAATACTAATCATCCCATCTTGACATTCAATCACATTACAGTTGCTCCATTCCTCACTTGCAACATCCCTGGGGATTACCACTGGCCAGAATTTTGCCATATAAACACTGTGGGTGCAGGAGTAAGTCATAGTTTAGGAATACTGTGGTGAATAACTCACCTCCTGACTCCCCCAAAGCCTGTCCATTATCTATAAGGCACAAGTCAGGAGTGTGAGGGAATACTCCCCACTGGCTTGGATTGGTGCAACTCCAACAGCACTTAAGAAGCTCGACACCACCTGGGACAATGCTGCTCACTTAAATTATTTCCACCACTTTTAACACTCTATCCTTCAACCACTAATGCACAATGGCAGCAATCTGTACCAAGTACAAGATACTTCATGTTTACAAGACGCACTGCAGCAACTCATCAAGTCTCATTCAACAATACTTTCCAAACCATGACCACTACTACCAGAAGGACAAGGCCAGCAAATGCATGGGAAAACCACCACGTACAAGTTCACTTCCAAGCAACTCACCATCCTGACCAGGATATATATCGCTGTTCCTTTCAGTGGCACTGGGTCAAAATCCTGGAATCCCTCTCTAACGGCATTGCGGGCCTACCCACAGCAGGTCACCTGCAGCAATTCAAGAAGGCAGCTCATCACTACCTTCCTGCTCACCCTCCAGGATAAGTTTCCCATGGAGCTATTTGCAAGAGCAAAGAATTCTCCTTGTGTCATGTCCAATATTTATCCCCTTAAAATAAAACAGATTATCTGGCCAATAGGACATTACCTATTTGTGGGAGTTTGCCCCGTTCTGCTGTATTTCTTACTTCAAACCTTTTTCTATAGCTGAAAAGTGCTTTTGGCCATCCTGAAATCACAAAAGCAGCTATATAAATGCAGGTCTTTCTTCAAAGGCAGTTCATGAAGTAAGAAATAGAAACGACAGCAGGCCCCTTAAGCCTGCTCCACGATTTAATAGATACATGGCTCATCTAATCTTAGTCTCAATACCATTTTCCAGCCTGCCACTCCTCATAACTTTTGACTCTTTTCCACGTTAAAAATCTACATAACTCAGCCTGGAATATATTTAATGACTCAGCCTCCTCTGCTGTTGGGGAAGAGAATGCCAGAGATGAACAATTCCTGTGATGAAGAAATTCATCCTCATCTGCATCTTAAATGGGAGGCAACTTTTGAAACAGTGTCCCTGGTTCAGGAGAAAATATCTTCTCAGCCTCTACCCAGTTCAAACACCCCAGGATCCTTATACATGTTTTGATAAAATCGCCTCTTGTTCTTCTATGCTCCTGTGAAGGAATAACAGAAATGCACACACTTAGCGCATGTGCGCGGCACTCTCTCTCTCGGCGTTTACACACTTCACATATATACATTAGACAACAAAACACATCAATAAACAGTCACACAGAAATCTTTTGAATTGACAAATCCAAACATTCGGCAAATTTGCTGACACAAGAATACAAGCAGTCTTGCCCAGCAATCTTCACAGCACGCGAAGCAGTTAAACTGAGACAACAAAAGGCAAGGAATTACCACATCGAGCAGTAGAGCTGTATTTAATAAAAACCCACTTGTTTGGGGAGCTGCCAACCGTGCCTTTTTGCAACCTCTGTGAAAATCTCAGATTCTGGGCTGCTCAAATTAAACGGACCAGTGGGGAGATCACAGAGAAAGGAGGCAAATCCAGTGTAAGTGGGAACATTTTCCCAAATAAACAATCGCAATCTTATTGACAAGATTGGAACTCACATTACACCACACCTCATAATAGTACTTTCTAATCACAGCGGCAATTACATGGGATTAATGGGGAGGTCAGTTTGTTTGGAATACATTGTATGCACTTGCATCAGATCTAAATCCTCAGAATTTCTCTCATTTCCCCCCAGCCTGACTCTGTATGTGGTTTCACTCTTTCCAAGGACACAATGACAGGTTGCAACTCGGGGGAAGAAAGGGGCGACTTATGGAATGGCAACTTGAGCGTTGTGGATAATTGTTCTTCCTGTCAGGTCTCTGTGCAGCTTCACCAAGATCGGAGCTGGCAGAGGTGTCTGTGTGATGAGGTACTGAGCCACAACAGGTAAGAAAGCTCCCAGAGCCGGTTCCCCAACTGTGCGAATTGAACTGATCTCATCAAGGAGAGCTGTGGTGTCTAATTGATATCCTTAGGCTAGGGAGGGCGAACATTAACCAGTTTTCCTACTCCTGATAGAAACGTGTGTGTGAAGGCTGCCTAAGGCTCCCCTTCTGATGATTAAACACTCCCTGTCAAGATTCACACTTGTTTAAAAGGACACCAGGGTAAGATACTGAACACAGAGTGAATGGTTTCGGAAACACAGGCAGGCAGAAAGAAAAATGGACCACAAATATACCAAGAGGATGGAGTGGGTAACTACACCACATGGTGTACACATTGAATATAACAACATGCACCAGCTTACTGCTTGTGACGTATGTGTGATAGGCAAGCGGTCTATATGCAGTGGATAGAGTGCACAAGGCAGGAGGTGGCTGTTTGACATTGAAACATTATCGACTCCAATACTGAGTTGGCCGAACTCAGGTAATGCTAGGGTCAACCTTATCCCAGGCCCAAAGGTTGCCCACATGTGGGAGAGGACAGAAGGCCTCGCTGCCAATGGACTTCAGTTACTTCTTAGGACATTTGGGGCAAATATTTTAAAAGAAATTCTCAATCTTTCAAAGACCATTTCTCATGATCAAGGGTGTGAGTTTGCGAGTGAGTGAGGGCGAGTTTGTTACCAGCCACTAGCAATGAAGACTCCATTCAGCAAGATCTACAGCTAGTTTGAAGCCTGCCTTATGGACTCCCAGGAAAGACAGACAATCATTCACTTTCCAAGCTCCTCTCCCTCATGAAGTTGGGGAGATTGATTCTCTGAGTTTCAGCTCTTGATTGAAACAGTTACCCATTAGCAGGTCTTGTAAACCACAGCCCTCCTTGTCCTGAACGTTCAAACATTGTTGGACTGTTGATGCAAAGTGGGAAAATTCTCCTCTTCAGTTCAGGTTATGCCACTTATGTGTTAAAACTGCAGCCTCTAGTGGAATAAAGTCAAACAGCTTTGGTTCGGATAAAATTTGGGATGCAAATTTGGGGGGTGAATTGAGTCTGAGAACTCAGAATGTCAGTTGGAGTACAAAAAGTAAAATACTGCAAAAGTTAGACAGTTGAAATAAATACACAAAAATACTGAAGGCACTGGGGTTAGGCGACATCTGTGGAGAAAAGAACAGCTACATTTCAGGTTGAGATGAGCTATTGTGAGTGAAAAACCACTGATCCAAAATCTTACCTCTGCTTCTCTCTGAATACACTACCTGACCTGATGAGTACTTCCAGTATCTCTTGTCTTTGACATGGCAAGCAATGCTCTAAATCGATGCCAGCACACCACACAGAGAGACCGCTTTGAGCTGCTCCAGCTAATACTCAGGTAGAGTGTTCAATTTGTCTTCCATACTAGTGTAAACCAGGCAACAGCCAATCCATAGTGTTTTCTATTGCATGTGATTTTCTCTCTCTGATCACATCAGTGAGGATGATGTGCTTGGCTAATTATTTCCTGATCCAAACTAATAGGGAAATTAGTTTCAAACCTATGATTTCCTTTGTGCTCACAATGGCGAGGGAGTAATCCATGATGTACAATGAAAAGAAATAACGTACATTTATATAACATCTTTCACATCCTCATGATGTCTCAAAGTATGTTACAGATGGTTGATTGTTATATAATTGATTCTTCCCCATTGTTATCAGACTTATGAACTGACCTCTCATTTATTAGAGTTGATCTTTCTCTGCACCTTCTGTGTAGCTATAACACTATATTCTGCATTCTGTTCTATTGCCCTGATGCACTTATGTAAGGTATGATTTGTCTGGATAACATGCAATACAATACTTTTCACTGTTTCTCGGTACACGTGACAGTAATAAATCAAATCAAATCAAATCAGACAGTTAGCACCTATAGGCTAATCAACGTCACAGGATGTCGATCAGGGTATGAAGGGTGTTGTTGGGAGGAGCTACATGTTTTGAAGTCTTTAGCCTTCCGTGGTAAGTCCTGGTAGCAAAACAATTATGTGTCTTCAGTCTTAATTCTAGCCTGAAATCTCACAATGGACTCTCGTATCTCGGTTGTAACTAGCTATTAAATATTACGTAATAAACCAGCTCTGTTTATTAAGATTGAGCTTTTCTTCTGCCAAAGACTTTGTGTGGACATCCTTCTGCACAGTCACCTATAAGGAAGATTAGTGGCAGTAATCTCATATGATGCTGGTGGGTGCGGCCGCACATATGGGTTACTTTTGGAAATGTAATCTAGGAAACATGATACCTAAGACATGCATACTAAGTTTCTGCTAATAGCAATAGGGTAAATCAGTAGCTAATCAGATTTTAGTGAGGTTAGTTACGGGATGAATAACAGCTAGAACATAACTTTAATGCCGCCATGGAATCATTGATAGGAATCTGAATAATTGGAGTGTCTGTGTAACAGCTGAAAGATAGCACCTTTGACAGAGTAGCACTGGGGTGTGAGCCTAGATTACATACCCAAAAGCTTTGGAGTGATACATAAATCTGCAAGGTTCTTACTCACCTGGAACATGAACACCACTTACAACTCAACCTGAAATTCAGGATTAACACCTGAACACTGAATCTCAGTCACAGCTCTTACCTGATCCGGGAGTATTTCAAATCATCTCTTGTGGCATCAGTCAAGAGGTCTTGCAGCGTGTATCCATTGGCTACAATCTGTAACATGAATATGAGACAGCACTGGAATCACCACGACATGCGTATCTCTGACCACAGATCCCCTCATCATTCCTCCTCTCTCCTGAGCCCTTAGTGCTCTTTCATGAGCTTCAGCATTCTCTGATAACTTCTGCCGAGTAGACTGTCTCCATGTAGTAACTGAAGCAGGCAGTATCACCAGCCATTCACCATTGGGAGTTGAACCCAACCTGGTACCTGCACCTGAGAGACACAGAGCTTCCAGGTGCCTGCCACACTTTCCACATCAAGCAGATGTTCACCTGCACATCTGCCAATGTGGTATACTGCATCCGCTGTACCCGGTGTGGCTTCCTCTACATCGGGGAAACCAAGCGGAGACTCGGGGACCGCTTTGCAGAACACCTACGCTCGGTTCGCAATAAACAACTGCACCTCCCAGTCGCGAACCATTTCAACTCCCCCTCCCATTCCTCAGACGACATGTCCATCCTGGGCCTCCTGCAGTGCCACAACGATGCCACCCGAAGGTTGCAGGAACAGCAACTCATATTCCGCTTGGGAACCCTGCAGCCCAATGGTATCAATGTGGATTTCACAAGTTTCAAAATCTCCCCTCCCCCCACCGCATCCCAAAACCAGTCCAACTCGTCCCTGCCTCCCTAACCTGTTCTTCCTCCCACCTATCCCCTCCTCCCACCTCAAGCCGCACCTCCATCTCCTACCGACCAACCTCATCCCGCCCCCTTGACCTGTCCGTCCTCCCTGGACTGACCTATCCCCTTCCTAACTCCCTACCTACACTCACCTTTCCTGGCCCCATCCCCGCCTCTTCGACCTGTTTGATTCCTCTCCACCTATCCTCTCCTCTATCCCTCTTCTATCCGCCTCCCACTCTCTCCCTATTTATTTCAAAACCCCCTTCCCCTCCCCCTTTTCTGATGAAGGGTCTAGGCCCGAAACGTCAGCCTCTCTGCTCCTATGATGCTGCTTGGCCTGCTGTGTTCATCCAGCCCTGCACCTTGTTGTCTCGGATTCTCCAGCATCTGCAGTTCCTACTATCTCTGATTCGATTTTAACTCCACTTCAACACACCAACTTGTTCTCTGACCAACAGCTCTGTATCAGGCTTGTTGCCCTGCTCCAGTGAAGCTTAGTGCAAGCTGGAAAACGCCTCATTTTCCACTTAAGAACTCTATAGCCTTTTGGACTCACCAGTTTTAGGGTTTGAGGCACCTTCTCCTATGTCCTTACCTCAACCTCCACACATCAGGCCTCGCTATTACACATCAGGCCTCGCTATTACACACTATCCATAGTTAACCATTAACAGTCCCCATTACTACGCATTCATTCTCCTAGGGTGACTGTTATACACTCCTTTGTCTATCCAACTGTTCTTCTCTCCCTTTGGGCTCTATGTCTATCTATCATTTACTCTTTACCCCCTCCCCCATCCTATCTTCTCCCAGATATTTTCCTAGCTACCATCAGTTCTGAGGAAGGGTCACTGAACCCAAAACGTTAACTCTGATTTATCTCCACAGATGTTGCCAAACTTGCTGCATATTTCCAATTTTGTTTCTGGAACCTGCACACGTGGGGCTTGCTGGTGAACTATCACCACAGCAGGTTTTGCTCTGAGTAGCTCAGTGGAGAAGCTCAACAGTGACCCTGGCTGAGAACAGCTAACTCCAATCAAGCAATGAAATCACTCTGGGTGCTTCAGCACCTCACTGCTGTGGGTAATCTGGTGGCTGGAGGAGCAAATCGGACTAGACCAGATAGATCAGATCTATCATCAACTAGCAACAACTCTCTCACTGCAGCTGGATAAATAGCGGCAGCTTCCAGTAACCTCCTTACCTGAGCCACACCAATCTCACAGGACCCAGAGAAATCCCACCTCCTGCAAGGGTACGGATTTTCAGAGAGAGGCACATTCAGGTCATTGGGTTTTAGAATGCGAGGTGATAGTTTTAGTAGAAGGGCTGGTCGATTTGAAACAGAGATGAGGAGAAATGTCTTCTCTCAAAGCGTTGTGAATTTATGGAATTCATCACTCCTCTGTGTGTGGAGGATGTTGGGACACTGAATAAAGTTAAGGAGCAAATAGACAAGTTTTTAATTCGTAACAGGTTGAAGAGTCACGGAGAGTGGGCAGGGAAGTGGAGCCAAGTCTGAGATGAGATCAGCTACAATCATATTAAATAGTGATGCAGGCTCCACTTTTTTTATGTTACAAGCAATAAGGAGGGAAAGGTCATAACACAGATGACAAACCTTCAGCGTGGGTAGAGATTGGGGCAAAAAAATTTCTTCAGGTTAGTGAATGTGAAAACTCACTTGTGGTCTGGGTTAGAGTTAGAGCCTGGACAATTCTGCTCCTGGTCTCCCTGAGCTCAACTACACAGTCGTCCTGTTGGAGCACATACAATTCCTCAATAAGAACTCAACCTACACGACACTGGGATATCCAATAAGGTGATTCTGAAGCACAGTTACCTCATTATTCTGTGGGGAGAAATCAAGAAACACCCAGACTGCTAAATGATTGGGCAGATAAGAGAGAACTAGGAAATTGAGGGGCTGAACTGTCTACTCCTGCTCCTAGTTATGTTCTTATCTAACTGAGATCAGCTGATGTATGCCTCAGCATTTTCCTGGGCATGGCTGTCCTCATCAGTGGGGAAGAGCCTCCTTCTTCAAATGGAATCATAGGCATTCAAATGAAATTCAAAGCCTGTTAAAACCACAACAATTTACTTAGTGTGCAAATATCTTTGATGCAAACACTGGTGATTCTTTCCAGTAGATCAGTAGCTCTGCAGAGAGCTGCCTAAGGGCCAGGGAGTGGCCTCAACATCAGTATTATACACATCATCAGTCAAACAGTGTATGTTTGAGAATTCCAGTGTGTGCTCACAGCCTACTGAATTCCCTCAGGCTCCACTCAGAAAGCAGAACTTTACAGCATTTTATCGTCATGATAACTGCATGTGTCTGGAAGCCAGAGGGTGAGCAACTGTGAGTGACTTCTGGCTGTGACTGTACTGTCAAAACTCATCATGTTTGTAATCAGACAGCACATAACAAAGACTGGTCCAAATAAAACCCATTGCGGCTGGTCACCGATGGATCTAACTGCTGAGCAGTTAGCATGGAAACATGGATGTACACACAGGAACTTGTAATTAGGAATGCTGCAGATTTGACCAATGACCCAGTCTGTATCAAACTTTTCAAAGGGCCTTCTCTAATAGGAGAGGTGAATGGATTGGCTGACGAGCCTGCCATCAGCTAACTCAAGGCATTACAGAATCAGAGAATCCCTACAGTGTGGAAGCAGGCCACACCGACCCACTGAAGTGCAACTCACCCAGACCCAGCCCACCCCTATAACCCTGCATTTCCCATGGCTAACCCACCTAAAATGCACATTGCTGGGCACTATGGGCAATTTAGCATGGCCAATCCACCTAACCCGCACACCTTTGGACTAGTGAGTGAGAACAGAAAATGCTGGAAACACTCAGGTCTGCCAGCACAGCATTAGAGGGAACATTTCAGCTGAATGACTTTCCATTGGGAGTGTAGTGACTCCAGTCTGAAATGGTTGCTTCTCCTACATTCCCTGCTATTTACTTATCTTTGTTAGTCAAATTGTCCACTGCCTTTTCTTGCCACTCTAATTCCTGGATCCCTCTCATCTTCCCTAATCCTTTAGCCATCTCTGTGTTTCTTGATTTCTCTCCTCAGAATAGAGGGGTAACTGTGCTTCAGAATCACCTTATTGGAGATCTCAGAGATGTGTAGTCATGTTGAGCTCATATTGAGGAACTGTATGTGCTCCAATAGGAGTGGTCTGTGCTTGAGCTCATGGTGTCCAGGGACAGAAGTGTACAGGCCCTAACTCTAACCCTATTCACAATTGAATTTTCACATCCGCTAACCTGAAGGAAATGTTTGCCTCAATCTCTACCCACGCTGAAGGTTTGTCATCTGTCTTATCACCTTTTCCCGCATGTTGCTTGTAATATAACTCACAAAGTGTTCTGTGTCTCATCATCCTCTCATACATTTGCTCCTAATTGGCAACACTGTGGGTTTAAAGTCATAATTGTTCAATTCTTCCATTGTCTGCCTCTTCCCTACATCTATAACCATCTAAACTGCCCGAGATTACGACACTGCTGCAATATTGGTCTCTTGCTCTTCTCTGATTTTAATCACTCCACTGGTGCTGCTTGGGCCTAAACAATGGAACTTCCTCCCTATGCCTGTCTGCTTCTCTGCCTCGCTCTCTTCTATCAGGACCCTTCTCAAAGTCCACATCTTTACCCAAGATTTTGGCCATCTCTCCTAATGTTAATTTCTTTGGCTTGGTATCCATTTCTAGCTGTCAAATACCTTGGATTATTTTACTTTGTTAAAGGTATTATACAGTTACAAGTCTCCCCTTTATATCTCCCTTCCTTCTTGATTTAATTGACTCCAGGTAGGCACAGTATGGCCATTCCTTGATATCTCATTCCAATCAGCATTCATTACATATGCTCATAGGTCAGACAACTCATGGAAGGAGTAGGCAATCTGTAACATCTAAAACCATCTTTCAATCTTAATACTTCTCACTATAATCTCATAACACTCTACACAAGCCTCAATAGCTCTTACCTTGTCAATTGTTTGTTTATCAACTTGAGCTGTTAACAGCCACTGTGTAAGCTCCTCTGTTTCAGAGTCCACAGGAGCTGATTGGAAGCCTGAGTAGACATCTAGTCAAGAACATCAAAGAGAATGTTAATGAACAGTTTGTGCCAAATTCTGTGTTCACATTTCAGCGAGAGGCCTGATTGACATGAAAACAGGGATAATCAGGAAGCTCATCCTCTCCTAATCGATCTCCAAACAACCTCTCTCTCAACCAAAAGCTGGTTGAACCCATTTATTTCAAAGATGTTTCGTGTCATCTACCCTATGAGCTAATGAGAAAATTCCTGAAGATTTTCTTTCCCAGGAAGAATCGCACAGATTGGCCAAGAAAAATGATATGTCTGGGGATTGGGAGCAGTTTAGAATTCAGCAAAGAATGACCAAGGGATTGTTTAAGAAGGGGAAAATACAGTATGAAAGTAAGCTTGCAGGGAACATAAAGACTCTGAAAGAGATTGGTGAAGACAAATGTAGGTCCCCTACAGACAGAAACGGGGGACTGTATAATAGGGGACAAAGAAATGACTGAGCAACCGAATACATATTTTGGTTCTGTCTTCACATAAAAGAGGACCCAAATCAGATACCAGAAATGTTGGAGAATGCAAGATTTAGTGAGAGGGAAGAACTGAGGGGGATCAATATTATAGAGAAATGGTGCTGGGAAAATTGTTGGGATTGAAGGCGGATAAATCCTCAGGGCCTGATAATCTATATCCCAGAGTACTTATGGAAGTGGCTCTAGAAATAATGGATGCATTGGCAGTCATCTTCCAGGATTCCATAAACTCTGGAACAGTCCCTGCAGATTGGAACTTAGCTAATGTCACTCCAATATTCAAAAAGGGAGGTAGAGAGAAAACAGGGAATTATAGACCAGTTAGCCTAACATCAGTAGTGGGGAAAATTCTTGAATCCATTATCAAGGACTTTTACAGCAGAGTGTTTGGAAAGCAGTAGCAGAATTGAACAGTCAGCATGGATTTATGAAGGAGAAATCATGCTTGTCAAATCTGTTGGAATTCTATGAAAATGTAACTAGTAGAGTTGACAAGGGGTAGCCAATCAATGTGGTATATTTGGACTTTCAGAAAGTGTTTGACAAAGTCCCGCATAAGAGATTATTGTACAAGATTAAAGTGCATGGGATTCAGGGAAGTGTATTGAGATGGATAGGAAACTGGTTGGCAGAGAGGAAACAAAGAGTAGGAATTAATGGGTCCTTTTCAAGTTGGCAGGCAGTAACTAGTGAGGTGCAACAGGGATTGGTGCTGGGTCCCCAGCTATTCACAATAATATATTAATGATTTGGATAAGGGAACAAAATGTAACATCTCCAAATCTGCAGATGATTCCAAGTTGGGTGGGAGGACGAACTGTGACGAGGATGCAGAGGTCCTTCAGCATGATCTCAAAAGGTTGGGTGAGTGGGCAAATCAATGGCAGATGCAGTATAATTTGGATAAATGTGAGGTTATCCACTTTCGAAGCAAGAACGAGAAGGCAAATTACTACCCGAATGGGTGTAAATTGGGAGAGGGGAGTGTGCAGCGGGACCTGGGTGTCCTTGTGCGCCAGTTGCTGAAGGTAAGCATGCAGGTGCAGCAGGCAGTAAAGAAGGTAAATGGTATGTTGGCCTTCATTGCGAGAGGTTTCGAGTACAGGAGCAGGGATGTGTTGTTACAGTTGTACAGGGCCTTGGTGAGACCACACCTAGAATATTGTGTGTAGTTTTGGTCTCCTTTTCTGAGGAAGGATGACCTTGCTCTCGAGGGAGTGCAGCAAAAGTTTACCAGGCTGATTCCGGGGATAGTAGGTCTGACGTATGAGGAAAGATTGACTAGGTTGGGATTGATTTTGCTGGAGTTCAGATGAATGAGGGGGGATCTCATAGAGACTTATAAAATTCTAACAGGACTGGACAGGGTAGATGCAGGGAGGACGTTCCCGATGGTGGGTGTGTCCAGAACCAGAGGTCACAGTATGAAGATTCGGGGTAGATGATTTAGGGCGGAAATGAAGAGACATTTCTTCACCCAAAGAGTGGAATTCATTACCACAGGAAGTAGATCGTACCAAAACATTGAATGTATTCAAGAGACGGCTAGATATAGCACTTGGGGCAAATAGGATCAAAGGTTATGGGAAGAAAGCAGGATTAAGCTATTGAGTTGGACGATCAGCCATGATCGTGAAGAATAGCAGAGCAAGCTCGAAGGGCTGAATGGCCTTCTCCTGCTCCTATCTTTTATGTTTCTATGCCTTCTATGTTTCTATTCCTCAACTAATCATTCCTCAATTTTGGGCCATTCTCCTCAGCTCCCCCTTCATCTGGATCAGTCACCCGCAAATCTGATAAACTTTAATGATGTTAACTCAAAGGCTCCTCTGGGCCACAGGACACGTTTGACATCCTTAAATGCTCCTTCTAACTTAGATTCAAATATCTGGAATCCTAGACTCCCCCAGGTGCCCAAAGCATTTGAAGGTAAGTAATATCTTTTCTGTGATGAACTTGTAGACAGTGAACCAGATGGGCTAGGTCAGTAAATGAGGATATTTAAAACAGGAAATATGTCTGTAAATTGGCGTTTAGACCCAAACATTGCATGGTCACACTACATTTGAATGATTCAGATGGACAATTGTACACTCTGCTTCTTTTCTCAATACAGCTCACACTGACCCTCCTTCCTGTGGATTAGGAAAGGCAATGGCCTAATGGTATTATCGCTGGACTCTTAGTTCAGGGACCCAGGGAATGTCTTGGGGATCTGAGTTTGAATCCCACCATCACAGATGGCGGAATTTGAATCCAATTAAAAAAAATTTGGAATTGACCATGAAGCCACTATCAATTGTGGTAAAAACCTATCGGGTTCACTAATGTCCTTCAGGGAAGGAAACTGCCATCCTTACCTGGTTTGGCCTATGTGTGACTCCAGACTGACAACAATGTGGTTGACTCTTAACTGCCCTCTGGGCAATTAGAATGGACAATAAATGCAGGTCCAGCCAGTGATGACCTCACCCCGCAAATGGGTAAAAAAAATCATCACCATCCTCCCGATTCTGTCTCACAACTGGGAGCCTGAGTGATAGCAGTAACTATTACCCTGTCCTTAATTATCTCCAGTCATTAGTAACGGACTGAGTGGAGGCCAAGGCATTTGCATTGCTCAGTGCATCTCACCAAAACCTATCAACATGGTCCCTCACCCTCCTGTTGTAGGAAAGATGTTGTTAAACTTGAAAGAGTTCAGAAAAGATTTACAAGGATGTTGCTAGGGTTGGAGGGTTTGAGCTATAGGGAGAGGCTGAATAGGCTGGGGCTATTTTCCCTGGAGCGTCGGAGGCTGAGAGGTGACCTTATAGAGGTTATAAAATCAAGAGAATCATGGATAGGGTGAATAGCCAAGGTCTTTTTCCCAGGCTAGGGGAGTTCAAATCTTGGGGGCAGAGGTTTAAGGTGAGAGGGGAAAAATTTTAAAAAGACATGAGGGGCAACTTTTTGACACAGAGGAAGGTGCATGTGTGAAATGAGCTGCCAGAGGAAGTGGTGAAGGCTGGTACAGTTACAACATTTAAAAGGCATCTGGATGGACACACGAATAGGAAGTGTTTAGAGGGATATGGGCCAAATGCTGGCAAATGGGGCTAGATTAATTTAGGATATCTGGTTGGTATGGATGAGTTGGACCGAAGGATCTGTTTCCATGCTGTACAACTGTAAGGTCATGTCTCATTAACTTAATTGAGTTTTTTGAAGAAGTAACAAAAATAATTGAAGAAGGCAGAGCAGTGGATCTGATCTACATGGACTTCAGCAAGGCGTTCAAAAATGTTCTACATGGTAGACTGGTTAGCAAGGTACGATAACATAGAATGTAGGGAGAGCTAGCCATTTGGACACAGAGCTGGCTCGAAGGTAGGAGACAAAGGGTACTGGAGACCTGTGCTACTGGGTCCACTGCTTTTTGTCATTTATGTAAATGATTTGGATTTGAACATAGGAGGTATGGTCAGTAAGTTTGCAGATGACACCAAGATTGGAGGTGTCGTGGACAGTGAAGAAGGTTACTTCAGAGTACAATGGGACCTTGTTCAGATGGGCTGATGGGCCAAGGAGTGGCAAATGGAGTTTCATTTAGATAAATGTGAGATGCTGCATTTTGGAAAGGTAAATCAGGGCAGGACTTATGTACTTAATAGTAAGGTCCTGGGGAATGTTGCTGAACAAAGAGACTTTGGAGTGCAGGTTCATAGTTCTTTCAAAGTAGAGTCGCAGGGAGACAGGATAGAGAAGAAGGCATCTTGTATACTTGCCTTTATTAGTCAGTGCGTTGAGTATAGGAGCTGGGGTATCATATTGTGGCTGTACAGGACATCGGTTAGGACACTTTTAGAATACTGCGTTCATTTCTGCTCTCCTTGCTATAGGAAGGATGTTGTGAAACTTGAGAGAGTTCGGAAAAGATTTACAAGGATGTTGCCAAAGTTGGAAGGTTTGAGCTATAGGGAGAGTCTGAATAGGCTGGGGCTATTTTCCCTGGAGCATTGGAGGCTGAGGAGTCTCCTTATAGAGCGTTTATAAAATCATGAGGGGCATGGATAGGGTAAATAGCGAATATCTTTTTCCTACAGTAGCAGAGTCCAAAACTACAGGGCATAGGTTTAAGGTGTGAGGGGAAAGACTTCAAAGGGACCTAAGGGGCAACTTTTTCACATAGAGGGTGGTGTGTGTGTGGAACGAGCTTCCAGAGGAAGTGGTGGAGGTTGGTACAATTATAACATTTAAAAGGCATCTGGATGGGCAAATGAATTGGAAGGGTTTAGAGGGATATGGGCCAAATGCTGGCAAATGGGACTAGGTTAATTTAGGATATCTGGTTGGCATGGACTGGTTGGATTGAAGGGTCTGTTTCCAAGTTGTACATCTCTATGACTCTATGTTGGAGGTTAGAACACATTTCTGTGGCATACTGTTCCCCTGTACGGTGGCCTAAATCTGACACTACAGCAGAGACAGGAATGGGCTGCACAGCCTGTGTCAATGTTGACATTCCAGAATCCATTCCGAAAGAAAGACACAGAAAGAAAGAAGAAAGAGAGAGAGAGAGACCCAATTCATTTGTTTTTGGTTGAGTGAGGAATGTTGGCTAGCACACTGAGAGATTCGGCTCCTCTTCTAGCTGGGAATTTTCAATCTCCAAATGAGTGTTTGATCTGACAGACACATCTCAGATCCCTTAGCACTGCACTGAAGAGGCAGCCTGCTTCCTCACACCCTCTTTCAACATTTAAGATGGACAATTCTACATCCCACCTTTCATCTCTTTGAAACCCATCTCTTCGGCTCAGCATCCAGTAGCTTCACATTTCCGTGGAAGGCCTTACAATGCAACTCTCTGAAAGGTGCTGTACAAATCCAACTTGTTCGCACAGTGTTAGACTTGAGCCTACCCCTTGGAAGCAACAGCACTGTTGGTTGACCCTAATTGTAATTCCTTCCTTTTGATGAGGGGACTGAGGGAGACGGAGACCAGTAACGTGACCAACTGGAACAAGTTGCATCCAATTGCTAAGGACACCGTCCCAAGGCTATGGTATGGTATGGTATTCATGTCCCAACTCTGAGCCAGAAACTGGGTTCAAGTCCCAACTGCTCCATACGTGTTAAATAACATCTCTGAGCAGGTTGATTGGCAAATATCAAATAGTTCTATGGATTGAAAAGGAAGGAAAGGAAGGGTATGATAGCCACTGTCACTTCTTATCACCGGGAGCAGCTACCATCTTGAGAAACTGCTTTGAAATAAGAAAATGGAGGCAATGGGCTCAAAGCAGAAGTATCCACAGAGAGTTAGACGACAGAAAACTACAGCTCCTCCACACTCCGACAACTACATTCACATCTATGTTCCTCCATGGCTGTGTTCCTCCATGGCTGCGTTCCTCCATGGTTGTGTTCCTCCAGCTCCACACTGTGTTGTCTCTGACTCCAGCATCTGCAGTTCTTGCTATCTTCAACTAGATTCACAGTGCTTTCTGAGAATGGTTCAACACCCAAGTGCTTCAGCTTGAAGTGCAAATGTGCATTTAAAAGGAATTTGACTGAAATGCATATTCTGACTTTGTAGAAAATGCAGTTTTACATATTAGAGAAATTAAATGTCAGTATCTCCCTCTCCCTCTAAGTGTGACATTACTGTCACTTTGAACTCCTGTTCCCTTGTAGTAGACTGATTGACCTCCCAGGAAACATGGGATACATGTAGTTACTCAATACTCACCACAAACTCTCTCCAGTATGGCAGTCACGTCCGCAGCTTACATTGCACAATATTTAGACTGAAGTAGATTACAAAGAATTCCGTGAAATGCACACCACAGAAACAGACCATTTGTTCAGCAGTGAATGTGTGCTGCAGCCTTGTCCACTGGGCCCTCTGCCAGACTGGCACACATAGAGTGATCTCACTCTGTGCACACAGCTGCAATCACAAAGTCTACAGTCAGCACTGTGCCATCTCACACCTTTAATGATGTTACTTCAAAGGAAAGTTGGGGAGACTCTCATCAGCATTCCAGCTATTATCCCACAACCAACCCCTTTATAAACAGCTGACTCCATCATTTGTGCAGTTTGACTGAACTCAAATTGGCTGATCCTGCTTTCCAGCACTGACAACACTTCAACAGAGAGAGGAAAAAATACTCCATTCGCCATAAATCTGTTCAGGGCATTCTGCAAGAGTTCTGTTTTAACTGTGGCTGATCTCAAACACAATCCCTTTCATGTTTTATCTCTCTCTTCCTCTTAACCTGCCTCAGCAAATCCAAACAGCTGAACTTGTCACAACTTCACCATGGAAAGTACCTGATGATTTACAGGAAAATGACAGACAGAAGATGAACTCTGACCCTGTTCTTCCTGCCTCATGTGGCTGTGAGGCTTTATAAATCAAAGTACAAACACTCCCTACCACCCGCAGCCACATAATCTCCTGGGAGGGTGAAATAACTCCGTGGAGGCCAGTATCACGTTGCCAAGTCACTCTTTATTTACACATGGAGAGTCCCTGACACTGGTCCAGCTCCCTCAGAGCCAGATGTCAGGCAGAACAGAACCTCTGACACTCCTGTTACTATCTGTCAGCCAGGGCTCCCTGATTGGACCAGATTAACTGCCCCAATCAGGGAACTCACATTCTATGAGGTCCAGCTGGCTGACCTCATGACAATCACAAGGGGGAAACAAACAAGTTTAAAAAGAAGAGGGATAAAAGCAGAAAAAAACACAGCTGGAAGTTCCTATCCAATCCCTTGAGGTAAGCAAAACAACAGAGTCCAGAAGATTATAATGGGCATGGTTAACATCCAGGAAGCCATCTGTCCCATACAGGATGATTTCTACTGCAGCCAGGAACAGTCCTGCTTCCACTCGAAGGATTCAGTTTATCAGTGTTCACTGCAAGAGCTGACAACCTGTTCTGCAACTGCATTGTTCTTTGGGAAATGAAGAAAATCTCATATCATTCAGCTGTTAACTAGCTAACAATTCACTGGCCATACTGAACCAACCCAGTTCATGCAATGATCCATACAGAAAGTGCAGAAAGAGGCCAGCTGGCCCATCGAGTCTGCACCGACCCTCCGAAGAGCATCCCACCCAGACCCAGCCTCCTACCCCATTCCCACAACCCTGAATTTCCCATGGCTAGCCCACCTTATGTGCACATCCCTGGATACTATGGGCAACTTAGCATGGCCAATCCACCCAAACATTGGACTGTGGGAGGAAACCGGAGCACCCGGAGGAAACCCACACAGACACGGGGAGAACATGCAAACTCCACACTGACAGTCGCCCAAGTCTGGAATTGAACCCGGGTCCCTGCTGCTATGAGGCAGCAGTGCTAACCACTGAGGCACCGTGCCGAACCCAACTCCAGTGGCTTCATTAATTTATGAACCTCAATCAGCTTACTCCTAAAAGCTTTGAGGGTATGAAACACAAGTTCCCTTGATCCCTGGGATGGCCGAATTGGTTTATGAGGGGAGAATGAGGAGACTGGCCTCTGTTCTCTCAAGTTTGGAAGAATGAGAGATGAACCCACTGAAGGGCACACAATTCGCACAGGGCTCGACAGGATATACGCAGAAAGAATGTTTCTCCTGGCCGAGGGAGCTCAAGAACTTGAGTGCAGAGTCGCAGATTAAAGACCATGTTTTGCTCTCTGTTCACCTCTTTCTACCAACCTTCTCTGACAAGAACACGACCTAATAGCAGCTTAAAACACTTCTGAGCCAGAGACATGCACTTAAAGCTTAGTTACCATTTTTAAATATAGAGAACGGTAATAGCCAATCTATGCACAGCAAGCTCCCCAAAATTTCTACAAGTGATCAAGCAACGTATGTTCCAGTGTAACTATATTGGGAAATACAGCCAAGACACTGTGGAGAATCTATCCACTCAATATTTAATCGGATTTCAGAATCATTTACATCAACTCAAGAAGGTACATGGTCCCCTGGTTTAACCTGTCGTCTGATCTCCAACTTCCTCAGGACCATACTGCAGTTTAGGCAAGAATTACATACTGTAGTTGGTCAAAGTATTATAGAGATTTCCAGGGTGGCATTGAATTCTCTGCCAAAGAGGATGTTCAGTTCCAATATTTAGACTTTTCCAATATTTTGACCAACAAAATAGGTTCTTCCTTCCTGATCCACCCCTTCCCCTGGCCCCACCCCTCACAGCAGTCTTCCTCCCTGAGGAATTATGAGCCACGACACCGTGTGCTATTCACACAGCCAAGTATAAAGCTCTCCCCTAAGTCTTTGGACATGTCCAGTGAAACAAAATGATGATTGGTCATCAGGTGAATGCCACTGGCAATGACAGGTTGGCACAGGAGTGATCACAGTCCATTCTCAACTGTCCTCAGTCCATCCAATGTTCCCCCAATAATCTGTCCCAATTGACTGACCTGAGGATTCTGATCTCTTTCGTAGTGACTTAAGGCTGTGGTCCTTCTGATGGATTGTCAGTTGTAGAAGTTGTTGGAACTCTCTCTCTTTCTCTGCAAGGTCTTCCAGAAGGCTGAAAGATTAAAGGCCCAGTTGATTATCAGAGACTTTGTCTTTGGCTAATTCTTAATCCTTTGTCTACTCACCATCCCTCATCCCAATGACAGGAGCAATCCAAGCATGGGCCTGGAGGAAAAGGCATTCCCTCACACAGGCCTCCCACAAAACTTAATTAAAAATACCTGCATTTATATAGAAACTGCCACATAGTGGAACATCCCAAAGTGATTCACAAAAGCATTATTGGACAAAAAAAGACATTGACACAAAGGACTGAGGACAAGTGACCACAAATTTGAACAAAGATATAGGTTTTAAGGAGGTAACAGGGTAAATAGAGTCAGAGAGATGCAAGAGTTTAGGGACTGGCTAACTGTAGACAAAGTTGCCTATTTCAGAATAATAAACATCAACAAAGTGCATCAGGCTGGAATTGCAGCAATGCACAGATCTCAAAGGGTTGTGAAGCTGGAAGAGCTCAGGAAGGAATGGAGGGATCTGTACATGTGGGCAGCATAGGTAATGATATTAAAAACAGTTTGAAACTTTAAAGAGAAAATCTTGGCTTAGACTTCTGCCAGTTTTCAATTCTATAAAATGCAGAATCTGAATTAGCATAAACTCCATTCCTGGAAATAGGAAGGGTTTCAAGTGGAAATGAGAGAGTGGAGAGTTGAGAGGGGTTCATCTGAGGCTGGGACTAAGATATCTGATTGATTTGAACCAATTCATCTTTGCTTGTATCTGATACAGTGACAGGGGTGAGGGAGCTTTATAATATTAAAGTATTATAAAATAATAAGCTATTGCAGCTTTTACCACTGGGTACTGTCAATGAAACTGAAAATTAGAGAGCATTTAATTGATTAGCTCACATGGAGGTAATTTTTTTTTCTTCAAATGCATAGCTCTGAGATTTAGAATAGCCAATGTCACTACTCAAGAGACACTGGTACATATGAAAGCAGACACACCAACAACCACTGACTCATGTATGTATGAATACAGACACATTAACAATGAATGACTGGTGTTCACATAATTACAGAATTATTTTTCAGAGCATTTTCTCCTGCGCCACTCACAGCAGTCTCCTGGAGGTTAATCTTTAATTCCTGGGGTAATCCAGGATGATTGCGACCCTTAATGCCTCAACAAAGGTATTATATGATAATAAATGACAAATGATACGCCTTAATGAATCCTCTAACAATCACTGCCCAACTTTTTGTGTGAATCTTTGCATTACATGTTTTGTCAATAAATCTTCCTGACTGAGAGGAGCTGGAATTAATGGAATGGGATGATTTTACAGGAATACCAATCAATCATTGGGATCAATTGTCCTCACAGGAATACCCACTCAGGGACTGGCTACCAACACAGGTTATCCTTGTTGGCTTAGGATAATAAGACAAATTTCACAGGAAACCTTTTGCACTTGATTGGGTTCTTCTTTGCCTTATGGTCATATCAACTAATGGCCAGGCCACAGCTCACACTTTCCACGGCTATTTCTGCAAGAACCCATTAAAAGTCTTGGGGTGATGACTGCTTGTTTTCTTTCGTGGCCACTCATTTACTGTAACACATATTCCCTTTCTCATAAGTGCAGAGCGACCAGATTGTTGCCACTTTGATGCAGCTAATTCTGAATGAATGCAGAGTTAGGAAGGTGCCATCAGTAGGGTCACTGGAGTGCACTCCCTCCTCGCTGACCCTCCGGCATGTGCCAGCAATTCACTCTCCAAACTGCACAGGTCAAACTGACTGTACTCTGCTTCGGTCAACAGGCTGGACTCAAGCAGTCCAGTACTTCCTGAATGACCCATGGGCAAAAGACCACAGTGCAGGTCAGTGTGAACTGGAATATAGAAATGGAGGAGCCTATCAACTTCCTCAGAACTGCTTGGCTACACAATTACATCTGAATTGATCTGTAAATCACTGACCTCTGCTGGCTTTCAATCCATTAACACTTAGCCAATAAATCTTCCCATCTCAAACAATTGTCCTCCTGCATCTACAATTTCTGGACAAGAAACTGATCCAGATTTCTCTGACCCTTTGTGTGAAGAAGTTTTCCCTGATTTCACTCCTGTGTAAAACCTGGCTCTCACTTGCAGATTATGTCACCTTGTCCGGTATCATCCACCAGAGGGTATAATTTATCCACACTGTGCTTTTGAATCACTTTATCCTTTAGAACATCTTGTTCAGATCAACACTCAGTTTTCTAATTGGAGGAATACAAGTCAAGTGTCGGATGCATGATAGAACAATAGAGTGGCAAACCCAAAGAGCCCAGCTCCTGGGGAGAAGGATATATGGACGATGGCACAGGGCTGGCAAGGTTGGCATTGTTTCCAATGTGACAGGAAGTTCACGGTTCTTTTAGAATTATGCAAGTTGTCTTTAAACCTGCAGAAAAAGTTGACTTTAAAGAATGTGACACCTGACTGATGTGTGACTTGCTGATGGAGTAGGAAAGGCAGGGTGGCTCAGTGGTTAGCACTGCTGCCTCACAACGCCAGGGGCCCACGCTTGATTCTACCCTTGGGTGGCTGTCTGTATGGAGTTTGCACATTCTCCCCGTGTCTGCTTGGGTTTCCTCTGGATGTTCCGGTTTCCTCCCACAGTCCAAAGATGTGCAGGTTAGGTGGATTCGTCATGCTAAATTGCCCATAGTGTTCAGGGATGTGCCGGCTAGGCAGGTTAGCCATGGGAAATGCACTGTTATAGAAAAAGGGTAGGGGGATGGGTCTGGGTGGAATGCTCTTCAGAGGGTCGGTATGGACTCAATGGGCCCAATGGCCTGCTTTCACACTGTGGGGATTTGATAATTCTAAAAGGAGTTATCGGGGGAGGTGGACTCAGACTGTATCCCTCTGGTGTTGTTTCAGGAATGAGGCAAGACCATACACAGGATAAAGCTTGTTTGGTGAAGAGAGTTGTAGTGTTATCAATACTGTGATAGACTATGATTCCTGCATTGCTCACTCTGATGGATACTGGAACCTTTAGGAGGTTACATTATGAGGACAGCTTGTTTAAACATAGCGTGCATTCCCCTGAGATTAAGGAGTGATCTGATTGAAGTATTTAACAGGATGGATACAGAGGAACTACTTCACCTTTTGGGGGCATCAGGAACAAGGTGACATCATATGAAAATTAGAGTCAGACCATTCAGGAGTGAAATCAAGGAGCATATAAAACATAGCGGAAATAACAAACCCTCTTCCACTCGCCCAAAAAAGATAGCGCTTGCTGAAAGTCAACTGGAATCTCCAAGTCTGAGATGGACATATTTCTGATGAGGATAAGATTGTGAGTTTTTGTGCAAAGGTGAGTAAATGCAGCTAAGGTACGGATCAGCCTTGCTTTGTTTCAGTTGTTGGCACTCTCGCTTCAATCGATCAAGGTTCTGGGGTTAAAGTCCCGCTCTGGAGCTTTAGCAGAAAAAGATAAAGCTGACACTCCATTGCAGCACAGATGGAGTGCTGCACTGTTGGAAGTGCCACCTCTGCATGATATGTTCAACTAAGACTACGACCTTCCTGGATATTAAAGACCCTGTGCACTATTTCGAACAGCAGGGCAGTCATCCTCATGTCTTGTCCAACGTTTGTCACTCGTACAAGAACAGCTTAAGTGGTCATTTGCATTGGTATCTCTGCACAAGTTCGGCTGCTGTTTCCTACATTAGACTACACTTCAAAAAGTAGTTCATTGGTTGTAGAGCACTTGGAGACATCAAGTGGTTGTGAAAATCATTATATAAGTGCAAGGCTTTTTCCCCATTTTTGGTCTAACTGAATGGTGGAGTTCGCGGGGGGAGGGGAGCAGAAACAAAGGGCCTATGTACCTCTGCTCCCAAGTTGCTGCAACAGCGAGTTTTTGTGATGTGCCTTTAAGGGATGTATCAAACTACTGCCTATCAATATTCACCACGTGATGTGATGTATAACCCCGCATACTCTTCATTCAGAACAGAATAGCAGTCCTACAAGTCAAATGTGTTCTGCATAGCCTCTAAGTTATCATTGTGTACATAATCTTATTTGGGTTCAGGAGTCAAACTACTATGGCGTTTGGTGGAATTTAAGTTCAATTAATAAAATTTGGAATTTAGAACTAATATCAGCAATGATCACCATGAACCTCTTAAGCGTTGTAAAAACGTTTCTGGCTCTGTAGGGAAGGAAATCTGCCATCCTTACTCCATTAGGGCCTACCAGTGACTTCAGATCCACAGTAACATGGCTGACTCATTAATTGCCCTCTGAAATGACCTCGCAAGCCACTCAGTTTGAAGGCAATTAGTCAAGAAATGTTGGCCTTGCCAGGGACGCCCACATCCCATCAAAGAAATAAAAATCTTCAAATAAAGAATGCATATTATTATCCTGCCAATACTTTGTTGTGTGATTCGGACATTTGCACTGAATAAAAGTACGTAACACAGACTTAAACGTTGGAGAGGCACCTCAAGGAATGTCCACAACATGTTATTGTTTGTTTGCCCATTCCTTCACCCATAGTAGCTCCTCTCCATACCGGTTTGATTCTGCCCTCAATCTGCTGAGCTGCACAATCAGGGGGCAGGCGTATTGTTGGGAATCATGGGACATGGAGCGACTGAGCGTGCTCACACCCGAGGTCCCTGCACCATCCATCTGCAGCTCCAGAGCTTCCCGTTCCCTCACGTCAGACTCACTCCCGCTCCACTTCCCCGGAATGTTGTCCGTGCCGTGCTCATCTGCCTCTTCGTCAAAGGAGCCCTGACTCTGGGGCTTCGATTCTGAAGGAGAAAATCCAAGTCAGTTGCTTTTGTCTAGCACCTTACCATTCTCCCACCGCCCTGCCCATCCTTCAGCTTTCTCCCCATTTCACCTCAAGTTGCTGACTCCCTCTGGGTGTTGCTTGTCCATAGGTACCTTTGCCCATCTTTCATATACCTGCTTAAGACCATAAACGTCAGCATCAGAGCTGATCCCAGTACAATCTCAAGCACCACACCCCCTCCCAGATTCTTTTCCTGTACTTTTTGCCTCTCTTGGGAAATTACATAGACATGGGCTCTTTTTAATTCTTTAATAGGATGTGGGCATCGCTGTCAAGGTCAGTACTTATTTCCCATCCCTAATTCCCATTGATCTGAATAGCTTGCTTGTCCATTTCAGGGGGCTGTTGAGAGTCAACCACATTGCTGTGGGTCAGGAGTCACATGCAGGCCAGACCAGGTAAGGATGGCAGATATCCATCTCTAAAGGAACCAGATCACCATTAACAATTGGTGATATTTTAACAGCCATCATTACTGAGACTAGTTTTTAATTTCAGATTTATTCATTACAAATTTGAACCCAAAACATTAGCCCGGGTCTCTGGATCACTAATCCAGTGTTACCACCACCGCACTGTCTTCTCTCCAGCTACGAGATTTCTCACATTAAAGCACGCCCCTAATGAAAGATTAGTTTAGTTCCACACATTGAATTTATTTCTTCTGATCGTGTTGATTACCCAGAGTGTAATGACCCTCTGGACTACAGCGTTATCCAGTGAGTTAGGTGCTGACTGTCTGTACATCTTTTACAGGGAGCAGGACCTGTTCCTGACTTGGACATTACATCAAAGACAAAGCAAGAGTCTTTACAGAGTATATATTCAGTCCCTGGAATGTCCTCGCTTCAGAGATCTGAGGGATTTAGAGAGAGGGTTTTATTTTTACCCTTAATGACCCTGGGTCATTTTAAGACGTTGTTGTGTTTTCTCCTGTCGATTCCATGTCTGCAGTGGATGAGTAGGTAGTGGCTAATATGAAATGACCAGTTAATATGCTTCAGCCGATATGAGTGTGGGTTAAATGTTAGGGACCAGCTTATCCTGAATCTGTATACAAGCGAGCTGAGAGCGACAGCACTGTGTATGGTGCTGGTCACTGCATTGTTGGAAGGATCTGAGGTTACACAGTAGATTTCACAGGATCAATGAAGAATTCTAGCTCTGGGTAAGGATTGGAAAGGCTGGGGTTGTTTTCTTTAGACAGAGGAGGCTAAAGGGAGATTTAATTGTTTCATATAAAACTATTGTGGTGCTGGATGGGAGGAGTTAGGGAGGTTCCGTTTTGTTCTGAGTTTGAGCTCTATATTTCGAGAAAACATTGTCCTTCTGAAGTTCACTGTGCTGCAATAGCCTTGGTACATCTGAACCAGCAGCAAATTAGATTAAATGATGGGTCAACAGAGGTTCACGTAAGGGGATATTTCAGCTTTACACTGAATACATCCTGAGAATGTGCAAACCCACCATCTGTGGTTAACTAAAAAGTTAAGGATAAAATTAAACCTAAAGGCATAGCATACAGAGACAGGTGGTAGGTCAGAAGAGTGGAAAGAGTATAAAGAACAGTAAAGGATGACTAAAAGATTAATGACGATGGTTAAATTAGAGTACAAGGGGATGCTAGTTACAAATCTAGTTACAGATAGTAAGGGTTTTTATAAATTGACAAAAAAGGAAACAGTTAATAAAGTGCAAGTTGTTCTATAGAAAGTAGTTCTGGGGATTAATAATGGAAAATAAAGAAGTGGCAGATGAATTTGCAATTGTCTTCACTGGACAGGATACACGGAACATCCCAGAAATAGCTGTACATTAGGAAATGGAAAGGAGGGAGGAACTTAGGGAAATTAGATCAGCCATGATGTTATTGAACGGCAGAGCAGGCTTGAGGAGAAATGAACTACGCCTGCTCCTAACCCGTGCGTTTGTAAGATGAAACTTCAGAGTCCTTCAGTGCAGAGGGATTTGGTGTCCTTGTGCGTGAGTAACAGGAAGCTAGTGTGCAGATAATAAGGAGGGCAAATGGAATTTGGGCATTTATTGCTAAAGGAATAGAATATAAAAGTAGACAAGTGTTACTGCAATTGTACAAGGCATTGGTGCAACTGCATCTGGAGTACTAAGCACAGTTTTAGTTCCCTTACTTAAGGAAGGATGCAATTTCCTTTGGGAACAGCTCAGAGAAGGTTCACTAGATTAATTCCAGAGAAGAAAGGCTTGTCTTTTAAGGAGAGATTGAGCAGTTTAGGTCTGTACTTGCTAGAGTTTAGGAGGATGAGAGGAGATTTAGTTGAGGCTTATAAGATACTAAAGGAGAGTGACAAAGCAGCAGCAGAATGGATGTTTCCTCTTGTGGGATATTCTCGAATGAGAGGTCATAGTTTTAACTATGGGTTAAAGGGGTGGCACATTTAAAATAGAGATGAGGAGGAATTACTTCTCTCAAAGAGTTGTGAATCTGTGCAGTTCACTACATCAGAGTGCGGTGGATGCCTGAACACATTAACTTTGAGAAGGAGACAAACAGATTTTTAATTAGTAATGGGTTGAAGGATTATGGAGAGCGGGCAGGAAAGTGGAGTTGAGGATGAGATGAGTTCAGCCATGACTGTATCAAATTTTTGATTTGATTTATTATTGTCACATGTACCTAGATACAGTGAAAAGTTTTGTTTTGCGTGCATTTCAGGCAGATCATACCATGCAAAGTGCGTAGGGGAATAGAACAGAGTGGAGAATATAATGTTACGGCAGCGGAGAAGGTGCACAAAGAGCAAGGTCAACTTTAAATTTAAAATTTGCCAGTTCCATTCAGAAGTTTAATAACAGCGGGGGAGAAGCAGTTCTTGAATTTGTTGGTACGTGTGTTAAAGCTTTTGTATCTTCTGCCCAACGGAAGAAGTTGGAAGAGATTGTAACTGGGTTGGGAGGGGTCTTTGATGATGTTGGCTGCCTTTCTGAGGCACGGAGAAGTGTAGATGCAGTCAATGGATGGAAAGTTGGCTTGAGTGATGGACTGGGTTGTGGTTCACAACTGACTGTAGTTTCTTACGGTCCTGGGTAGAGCAGTTTCCATACCAAGCCATGGTGCACCCAAATAGAATACTTTCTGTGGTGGAATGGCAGAAAGGCCTCAAGGGGCTGAACTGCCTACTCCAACTATTAGTTCTTATATACTCACTTTGGGTTAGGGTGGATTCAAATCTCCATTGTTCCTGGAACTCAAGATGGTTTTTTTTGAATGGGAGGCTGCTTTCCAAATTGGAAAGATGCTCCCCACCCTTCTGCAGAGAAGGGGGTGATGTTTCCCCAGCAATGTGGCACTATAAAAATAATTTCTACCTATGGGTGTAGCGGTTGGCAAGAAACAGTCCCTTACAATGCTTATCCACAATCACATACCTGGGATGAGAATGCTTAAGGCTATCTGCATGGCCTTGCAAATAATGTTGTCCAGGGCAAACATCCAATGAGGTTTAATCTGGTTACGGCGAAGGAGTTTAATCACCTAGGAAGAAAATCCCTATTAAAAAGGAAAGATATCATCTTCTGGGTAAACTGCAGAGTTCCCCATCGATATCACACGGTTAATATTTTGGCCGAGAGATATTAAACAATCCTTGCTGACCCTCCCTAGTTCCATCCTCTACAAACCCATTATCTGTAATTTAATTCACACCATGTCCTGACCAATCCTGTGCTTGTTGATCTGCATTGACTCGTGGTCTAGCAACACCTGGGCATTTAAATTCTCATCCTTGCAATTCACTCTGTAGTCATGACCTTCCCTATTGTTTCTAGCTGGGTTGTACAGCGATGAAAGAACTCTATTAATGCAAATTTTTGTTGTTGTAGATCCCGCGGTCCCTTTTACCAGCCCTCCTCTCTCTTTCATAACTTTGCCCTGAACATTGTTGTTGCTTTCTCCCATTTTTTTGACTTTCCCCATCACAATTCACCACAATGTGGAAGCTAATGGCCCATTGTCAACCAACTGATAAACTGCCCCTGTTCTCATTACAAACACGCACTGGGAGTGAGTGTGAAGTGATTAAACCTCAGAGACCTTCACTCAGTTTGGAAGCTCTTGTGTGGCCCCATGGTAAGGTTAGCTAATGCAGAGCAGACCGACAATGAAAGACAGGACATCTCCTTGTTACTCAGTCCCTAGTACAGCACTATGCCATCGATTAAACAACCCTAGGGCTCCAGTACAAAGTTCCCCAGTGCCCCAGTCCCATGGATCCACAATCTTGTAGGGTGCAACACTCAAAGGGCTCCATTCCCACAGGGGCACATTCTCATACGGCCCCAGTCCCATGGATCCTCACTCTCCTTGTGTTCCTTTCTCATGGGGTCCCAGTCTCACAGGTGGCCCAGTCTCACCGGGGACCCAGTCTCACAGGGGGCCTAGTCTCACAGGGGGCCAGTCTCACAGG